AACGCGGCTAAGCAAGCAAATGAGAAAAAATGCTCACAAGCTGTCTCCAAGCTCAATAAAGTAAGTCGTTTTATCTGGTCCCGACACTCAGTGCCAAATATAAGTTTTTCCAGGTTACAACAGAGTTGAAAGAAGAACGAGAGATGAATGAAATGCTTCGTAGTGATCAGCAGCTTTGGAAGCATAAGGTCGATGAACTTGAAAAGAAGTGTGTTTCTTGCGAGAAGCAGTTTTCTCAGGTGAGAGTCCTAATTTTTAATCTTCTTCAAGGAAACTAAGGGTACGCCGCTATGCTTTGACTACGAGTGCAAATCTTTTGAGTAATCAATTCACCAATCCAAGTATTTTCGTTTGATCAATCATTAGTTAAGGATTTACTTTAGCAATTTTGTAAACAATCACTGCATTTTTCAAAGCAAAAGTAAAGCAGAGCTAGATCAGAAAACCCACTTATCAATGAAAGAGAATAGAGGAAGGTGGAACAAACAAGAGTATGCATATTTACGAATGCTTTTAACTTCTCCAATAAGATCTCCATCTGTAAAAGTCTTTTGCAGATCATATTAAACATCAAATCTTTTATGCGCAATGGCGTACTCAAGGTTACGGTGCACAGTTTTCTTTCCTTATATAGCAGTAGCGTGCGTTCATGATAAGTAATAATAGTTCTCTAAAGATTGATGTTTGTTTTAGTTATACGCTGTCTTTTTAGTAGGACAACTTGGAATAACTTGTTGCACTGGATAATTAATTGTGAATTATTAAATATTTACATTCCTCGCACCACTCATACCGCAAATTCATTAATTTCGAACCTGTTTATGTTGCTAAATTGTTTCACATCAGCTCACAGTGATGACTGAGCATTTTAGATATTACGCGCAGAAGACGTGTCTGCACACTATATACTAAATCCGAGTATTAGTAGAAGTTTTTTTAGAGGATCAATGAGCTGCAGGAACAAGTTTCTGATCTCATGCAGCATTTCGACGCGCAGTCCAAAATCCAGGCGCAGATTGACAGCGCTCAATTATCAAGAGAGGTATGCACTTGGATTTACCATTTTTCTGCTAACAAGCGATCGCATCCTTTTAGGAGCTTGAGTCGAGCCAGGTTGGTATATCTATGAACACACCCGAAAAGAAACAAAGGCGGAAAAATAAGAAATGAGTTTGTTTACGCCAAAGCTGTGAGGC